GTTTATTTTGCCTTTGTCACTATTACTAGTGAAATTCCTCTCCCTCATTTTGTCTACCTAAAACAATTACCTTTTTTTCCCTACATGTTTTTATTGGTGCATTATAGTTGTACATTAAAAAAATCAACTTGGATGTCAGTCTTTTATTGCAGTATTTTAAAATTTGTGGGTTAGAAACACTTTTTATATCTATTTGTAGGTCTGCTTTTTTTCACTTAACATTGTAGCTCAAGCTTTTAAAAATGTTTTTTCCATTTCTGCATGCATTTTAAATAGGTGCATGATTTTTTACTCAGTACAACCTTTAATCCATATTTGTTCATTCTTTATACCTCCGGGTAGCAGTATTTCTGGTTCTTGTGGCATGAATACTTTTTTAAATGCTTGTTTTAGAAAGTTCAAGAAAGTGTGAAGGCAAGAAAAACCTGACCTATCTTCTTTGACCAGTGGCTCTTCATGTTTTAACATAATTCCCTTCTGAACTGTGTATGTATTTAGCACAGTTGAGAACAGTCTTAATATACAATTTTATATCCTGCTCATTTTTTGTTTTACATTATATTATAAATGTTGCATATCGTATAAAGCTCTTGGTAAATGTGTTTAAGGGCTAAATAGCATTTGATTATAGGATGTGCTAACATTTGTTTAACCAGTTCCACAATTATTAAATATTTAGGTGGTTTCTAATTTTCCACTAGTGTAAATAATATTTTTTAAAAAATATTTCTATTATCTTTATCTTTTTATCTACCTGACTTATAGATTATAGTCTAGGATTGATTTCTGTCAGTGAAGTTCATGGGCAAAGTGTTTGAACATTTTTGCAAACTTAATTTTTAAAACATACATGTAGGCCATGACCCATTTCACATGATTGTCATTTAGCAAGGCTAATTGATTATTATACCATCTTAAATCTGAGATGTGGCTAATGCTGTTAATTGGATGAGTTTTATGGGTGCTACAGACTCCATTCCAGGTAACAATAGAGGTTTGCGAAGATCATCTTATTCATTTTCATGCTTGTTCTTCGTTTTCTCATAAAGGTCCCACTAAAGCTGTAACATAGTGAAAGAATCAATTTGAAATATGCTCTTCCATCACTAGAGACAGTTTATAAAAATGCAGCATTTAGGGCTGAGGCTGTGGCTCAGTGGTAGAGCGCTTGCCTCACATGTGTGAGGCATTGGGCTCGATTCTCAGCACCGCATATAAATAAATAAATAAATAAATAAATAAAATAAAGGTCTATCAACAACTTAAAAAAAATTGCTGATCCTGCCTGCTGTTCTAATATTTACCATATAAACTACAGGATTCTGAGGATTTTTTTTTTTTTTTCCTGGTGCTGGGGATTGAACCTAGGGCCTCGAGCATGTTAGGTGAGTGTTCCACCACTGACCTACATTTCCAGCCCTTTTTTAAACTTTATTTTGAGTCAGGGCCTTGCTAAGTTGCCCAGGCTGGCCTTGAACTTGCTGAGGCTGGCCTCAAACTTGCAATCCTTCAGCCACAACTCCTTGATTACAGGCATATGCCACTGCATCTTGTTCTTAGGAATCTTATAAATAAATTAAGGTCGCTGGTTGAACAGTCTTGGAAATACAAGACATTGATCATGAAAACAAATGCTTGCAGAATCTTAGCAGTAAACTAGTTGAGTTCCAGCAGTGTCCTGTGATGCTGGTGTTGGTGGACAGTTTTAAATTCAGCAGGAGGAAGTTATAAATAACTTTACTTCCTTTACTTCCTCATCAGATTTTTCCTGAGCACTTTCAGGAAAGTTTTTCATTTTAAATGACTGTATTGAGTTCTAATTTATATACCACAAAAATTTACCCCTTGTAGTATACAATTCAATAAAAATTCAATAAATTTATTTTTTAGTAAATTTATAGAGTTGTGCAACATCCCCACATTTGCAGCATCCTCCTAAATTCCCTTGTGTCAGTTTACACCGATCCCTGATCCCAGTCCCAGCCCTAGACAACTACAAATTGCCTTTTTTCCTATATGTTTACCTTTTCAGGACATTTCATGGGGTCATACAGTGAATGTTTTTTTGGGGGTCTGTTTTCTTTAGCATAACATTTTCAAGGTTCATGCATGTAATTGCATGTATCAGTACTTTATTCCTTTTTGTTCTCAAATAGTATTCCATTGCATGGATAGGCTGCATTTTATTTATTTATTCATCTGGTAAATAACTGTATGACTGTATGCATAAAAACATGGAGTGATTTTTGTTGACAGGTGCTTTTTAAAATTTTTTTTAGGTGTTGATGGAGCTTTAATGTATTCATTTATTTATATGTGGTGCTGAGAAATGTTTTAGTTGTAGCTGGATATAATATCTCTATTTATTTATTTATTTATTTATTTTTATGTGGTGCTGAGGATCGAACCCAGGGCCTCACACATGCTAGGCAAGCACTCTACCGCTGAGCCACAGCCCCAACCCCTGACAGGTGCTTTTTAAACATTAGAATATTCACTGTAACTAAGTGCCCTGCTTAGTTAAAAACATTTCAATTCATTACCTTGAAATGGAGGTTGATATAAAATACCATAGAGGCAGCCAGCCTGCCACAGTGAAATTAAAAGCATTTGGCAGAGAGCATTCTGGGAAATAGTAGGGACTGGACTGAGCAGATGAAGAAACATGTGAAAACAGATGCTTCTTTGCTTTTGCAGGGATTGTCAACTAACTGAGCAAAGACAGGGAGCCATGGAAAACCTTGGGTGACAGACATGGTTATAGATCAGTGCCTCCTTATTATGCCTGCCACAAGCTAAGGGAAGATCTATAGGCTTGGGCAAATGTGTCCTCCTGGATCTGGTTTAAAAATTACATGACATCTTCTGAGATGCATGTCTTACCAAAATGTACATCAAGTCCATAATGTGCGTCCATGATGGGAGGCCCCTGAGGGGAGGGGCCATTTGGTCACATTCTCCATAGTGCAGCAGAGAATAGATGCCTTAGAAGTCAGATCATTGACACAGAGAGTTGCAAGAGCTGACATACAAGAATGAGGAAGCACTCAGGAAGGGGACACTTGAGAAGTATGGAATGACCAGTAGGCACCAAGCTCAGGTAAAATGAGGAGGAACACCGGGGGCTGGGAGGGTGTTGGAAGGAATGGCTCCCGCAAGGCTGGCATCATGATGTGCTCCTGTGTCCACCTGGGTTTTCTGTCATGTTAGCTTGGTTGTGAGTGGGGTGCATCGGGGAGGCAGTACTGATGTGGACCCCAGTCCTCAGGGACTATTTGTGCTCTTCTGCTGGCCTGCATTCCACTCCCCATGAGTGCCAGGTTTTATCTAGAGCTGCAGGGCAGTCACTGACCTGTGCTTTGGAGCCAAGCGAATTGCCAGGGGTTGTTAAATGGATTGTTGTATTTGGAGAGGTTTGTTTAAAGGTAGAGACTTTTATTAGTTACAGAGGAGCCTAAACACAGTCCAAGTTTGGTTGGTTGTTTTTCCTGAGATAGGACTTATGTTTTGGCCCCATTTTTTGTTCCTGTAGAACTTAGGGAGTTTGGTGGGTGTTCTAGGTTTTAGGAAGCCCTCAAATATAGGTAGAGAGACTAGCAAAAGTACATCTAATGTTTGAGTGATATTTTCCCAGCACAGAGGGTTGTGTCAATGTGGGGTAGTATGTCTTCCGAGTTAGAATGTCCTGTGGGGGTGTGGTGGATCAGCTTGTGGGGTGGCCTGTCTTTTAGATCTTGCCACTTGTTGTGCATTGTCTCTGAGAGGTCACACAAGTGTCTTTAAGCCTTAGTTTCTTCATGTGTAAAATGGAGATAATAATACCTGCCTCACCTGTGTCATAATTTGGATAGGAGGAGCTAGTGAAATAATAGGTATGAAAATGTTTTGCCACCCACAGAGATAAACAAGTGTAGCATTATTACTTCAGGTGTGGTAGGGAGCAGGAAATCCTTGTGGTTAGGCAGAGTTGAGCCAGGTGGTAGTGGCCTCAGGACCTTTGCACTGGGCCCCTCTCTCCAGTCTGCTGTCTCTAGTCACGTCCAAGTTGTAACTCAAAGACCACCGAATCTGTGTGACCTTGCCCCATCCCCACCTGCCTTGTCATCCTGTTTAATTTTCTTCTGTGTTCTCATTAACTGAATGGACTGGTTAGCTTATTTGTTAATCTCCTCTTCTAGCATGGCGTAGATGCGGTAAGGTGTGAGACCTTTGTATTCTGAGTCTAGACAGAGCCTAGCACATGGGAGATATTCAAGATTTCTTACCCTTGTTTGCATGAGCAAGTGGAAGGGTTTTGAAGGCCTAAGACCCAATTGGGTAGTGGCCCAGGAGCCCTTTGAGTGTTGCTAAGAATTGAATGTAGTGGCTCTGACCTTATTTCTCTGTAGACACGTTCCCAGATTTCCCGTTTCTAAATTCAATTAAATGTGCAGTAATTGTAACTTAATTGAAAAACTTGCCACCTCTGGATCTGAGTTCCCAATGTAATCTCATAACAAAAATAAAGAACAAGAATCAGAATTCATGTTTTTTTTTTTTTTTCTCTAAGTAACAGGCCATGAAATTACACAATGTTTCCAATTTGGTAGGCTGGTGAATCCAGGCTCTGAAAATGTAATTGTGTTCCTTCAACCACACAGTGATAGGAATTCTAGTTGGAACTTGCCAGTTGGATACAATGAACGCCCCCCACCCCCTTCACATCCATTTGATTTGTTTTTAAATGGGCTGGATTTCTCCTTCTTCTGTGTGCAGTTACTATGTATTCAAGAGTCTGATGAAGGTGAGGAGGGTCAGGGACTTCCTGGAGTTCTGTGACACCAACATAAACGGGTGTGTGTGCACGGAGTGGCCCGGGTTTCTTACCAGGCCCCCTGCCTTACCTCCAGGTGTCTTCTGTTTACCTGCACGAGGAGGTTCACACCTGGGGCTCACTCCCCCCCCCCAGAGGCTGGGCCCCCTGCCGGCTGCTCCCTTCATAAGGCCTGGTTCTCCCGCAGGGTTACCTGTCTCTGCGCCCAGCTGGAAGCTGTTCTGCAGCATGGCTTGAAGAGGAGCCGCGGATTGGCGCTTACAGCGGCGGCGATCAAACAGGCAGCAGGCTTCGCCAGCAAGACGGAGACAGGTACTGCTCGGCCTCCTGAGGCTGAGTCTCTCCCCTCTCGCTCTTATTTATTGTTAATAGCAGGCTAGGAGGTAGTTGTATGGAACTGCCCTGTTTGTGCAGAAATCAATGTCTTGTTTGTGGTGGCGTCTGGCGTGTTAAATGAAGTCATCCTTTGTGCAGAAATCTCAGTGCCATGTGTTCCCGACTCCTCTGGGTTCGGGGGCCGGCAGCCAAGGTGACTATTTCAGCAATGTGGTGTGACAATTGCTGAGAAATTAATAATCTGTTTTAATTTCATGCATGGGGATAGCGTGGCATTTCATAATTGTGTCTCCAACAGCTACAGAAACCGCACAAGTCTCTGAACTGAGTTCTATAGCTCTCATCTATTTTAATGTTATCAAAACACGTCCCCAAGCATTAGGGATAAGGCCAGTAATAGTAACTGGCTGTGGACGTGGGCCTTTGGAAAGGCATACAACTGGTGCTCAGAGCTTCGTTGGTCTTTGACAAAAGTTAATTCCTCTGCCCTCACACCAACCCCAGGAGTGGTAGGAATCTCAATTGTGTCCATAGTATGCATGAGGTCACTATTCCCTAGATCAGAAATTGGAAGTGGATTGTGCCATATAAAATGGCCTGTGGTCTCTCCCTCCCACAACTTTTCCCTTTACTGCTTGGGATGGAACCCAGGGCTTGGTCCTTGTTAGGCAACTGCTCTATCCCCGAGCTACCCCCCAGCTACCCCCCCTACCCCCCCCCCCGCTACCCCCCCACTCCCCCCATTTCAGAGGGCATGTTTTTGCCAACCCTGCTTGTGGCTACCACCTTGAATTCCTGCATCTTCCTTGTCCCTGTGCTAATGTTAATGTGGCATGTGGCTCCTAGGGAGAGTGTGTGATCTTTGCTAGTTCTTTTTCACAGCAGAAATTCAGCTGGTGTGTTGAGTGGTGGTGTCTGGAAATTCGGACTGCCTCCTGGCCTTTCTCTCCCTCCGTGGCTGTCTTTTTCTTTTCCTTGAACTCTTCAGCTAATCTCTGATTCTCCTTGTTCATCTCCCCAGTTGCTCCTTTTCAGAAACAAATGTGGTTCCTGTTAGGTTCAGCAGCCGTCTTCGAGGGGTATTTCTACCGAGCTCCTAAGCCCCCCTTCATCACAAGTCCGTGAAGGAGGGAGCCTGTTTAGAGAAAAGCCAACCTTTCTTAAACTGTCACCTTGGGGACATCTGAATTTTGGAGAGGACGCAAACTGTAGCAGTGGCAAAGCCAGGATTTGCACCCAGGCAGCCCAGTCTTCCCCCCCCCACCCCCCTAAATACCCAGATTTAATTGCACCCGAGCTCCCCATGCTTGAGGCAATTATCTTATTCATTAGTTTTTCCTGGGCTTTGGGTGAAGGACCCTGGGCCTTATGGAAAGGTGGTACCACAGGATGTGCCCTCTGGGCATCTACTGACTTTGCCCTCACCCCAAACTAGGGGCCTCAGGCTTTAACGAAATCGCTGCCAGCTGCTGTGGCCACCTGGGTGTCAACCTCAGTGGTCTCTCAGTGGCTTTATCTCTGGGATGCTGCCCCAAGCCTCTGCAGCGGGGAGGCTGGATGTTACAGGCTAGTTGCTGAGCTTTTCTCAGAGACCGAGACGCTTGCTGGGCCCTTGTATTTTCCCCTTCTTTGGTCTTCACTGACCCTGGGGTTGGTTACCATGAGGCTCCTGTCTGCCTCCACCAGGTGAGGGCAGCTGCTGTGCATGGCTAGGCAGCTCCAGGCTGTGAGGGCAAGCCTCCAGTGACCTTGAGGAAGTTCCTCTCTGAGCCTTAGAGGCTGCCTCTCCCAGAGGTTGTTGGGAGGCTTCATCGAGAAGCTTGTTCTAAAGGCCTGGTAAGTGTTGAGCCCGGTGTCCTGCTCTGCCCAGCACTTGACCTCCAACCTCTCCTCGTCCCAGCCTCCCTCATGGCACTGACCATCTGTTCATGGTTTGCTCCTATGCAGACTAGAGCCCTTGCCATTTTGTTACTTGGCCTGATAAGAATTAGGGAGGTGCTGCATGTTTGCAGGGCATCTCTGGCCTCCCCGCCTTACCTGAGGAGCCTCCACCTGCACCTGGGAGTGGGGCTAGGCAAAGGCACTGCCTGTTTTCTGCTGATGGGGGTGTGCTGGGCAGCTTTCCACCAATTAGAAGCAGCGCCAATTAGAACAGACCAACCAAGCTTGGCCTGGGGTGGCTGCCAGCCTCAGGGGCCGAGTTAATTAGCCATTAGCTGGCCTTCGCAGCCCTTGCTGATTGAGACCTCCTCCCTTCTGGGAATGCTGGATTAAAATCCTCACACAGGAGGCTGGCTGGTGTTCCAGCTGCAGTGAGTTGGGAATGATCAGATCAGTGGCTGCTTGTGGCTGTTCTTCAAGCCATTGGAATAACACTTTCAGACCAAGGAAGAAAAAGAAATCCAAAGAGGACAGGAAGGAAGGGGCCCTGCTCGCTTCCCTCCTGCTGGCCGTGGGACCGGGCATCTTATGTAGCACGGTGGTGCAGACACTGGCTCTGCAGTCAGGCAGCAGGGTTGACATCAGTGACTTGTCACATAGGAGCCCTCTGGGACATGTCTCTGAGCTTCTGTTTCCTCGTGTGTGAAATACAGTGATCACAGGAGCTGCCTCTCTGGGCCTGGGGGGACTGGGTGAGAAAGTTCTAAGCCCCAGGCTGCCAGTGCTGCCGGGAGGCTAAGGTGACAATGACTTTCCAGGAGATCGGGTCCCTTTTTTTTCAGTGATAAAACCATGGTTCAAATGAGTTAATAATTTGCCCAAATTCCATATCTGGTAGAGACAGAGCTGAGGATTCCCACCCAACTCGGATGGACTCGGAATTCCTGGCTCTCCCCAGCTCCCCCATCTCTGATAGCAGGCTGATGCCCTTTATCACTCCCGCATAGAGTGCTGTGGCTCAATTAACCAAAAAGTGACAGAAAAAATAATGGTGAACGAGCCCATGATGCTCTTGTATTAACTGTTTACAGAAGAGGCACACTACCTTTTAAACTTTTTTTTTTTTTTTTTGTACCAGGGATTGAACCCAGAGGGTGTTTAACCATTGAGCTATAGGCACAGCCCTTTATATTTTTTATTTTGAAATGGGGCCTCACTAAATTGCTTATGTTCTCACTAAGATGCTAAGGCTGAATGATCCTTCTGCCTCAGCCTCCTGAGTTGATGGAATACAGGTATGTGCCACCATACCTGGCGAGGAACACTACTTTTTTTTTTTTTTAATCTTTAATTTTTTTTTTTTGTGATGCTGGGGGATCGAACTTGGTGTCCCACATGAGCCAGGCAAACGCTCTACCACAGAGCCACAACCCCATCCCAGAACACTACCTTTTTAAGAGGAAAAAGTTGAATCTCAAAGTAATAACTGAGCAAAATGATATTGTTGACAATCACGATACAGGAGGTAATGGGAGTGCCTGCTGGGGGCACGTCGGCATTTGGACCTCTGGGGTTAGGGTATGTGGAAGACTGGGTTTAGGGACTCGTGCTCAAATTGTGGCTATTGTTTAAAAATCGTGGAATTTTATGTTGAATTATGCGTCTGTAGCTTTTCATAGGCTGCAGTCTGTGACTCTGGCCCCACACGGCACTGGTGACTTTGGCTGAAGAATGCACCTGGCTTTGTTGGTGGGGCAGATGTGCTCTCGTTCACCAGTCTCTCTCTACCTTTTCCAGTGCCCTGGAACTTGGGACAGAGCAGCGTGGGCTGCCACTTGAGCACAACGCTGCTGTTTCTCTTGTTAGAATCAAGAGGAAAATACTTCTTGCATTTTGCTATTTACTTTGGCTCTTGTGGGATCACATTCCTAGGTAAAGATAATTTTTGAACATGTTAAGGTGGTGATTACTTGTTTTATGAGTCCTATTATCTTTCCTGTGTGCTAAATGAAGGCAAAGATGTATGTTTTTAATCTAAGTTTTGATAAATAGATCCACTCGGGTTACTGCTGTCTGGGATCAAGGACTAGAACGTGGCCAGCACCTGGGAAGCCCCTTGTGCCCTCTGTCAGTAACTGTGCTCCCTTCTCCAAAGGTAACCACTACTGAGTTCTCACACTTGATTTGTTTTGCTCGACTGCATATAACTTAAGTTTGTACCTGGTTTCTTTCATCTCGACATCGTTTTAGTTTCTGCTGTGTCATTGGTATACCAGTGGCTCCTTTGACATGACTAGAGTTCAATGTTTTACAGTTATTCTTCTGCTTTACTGCGGGTGCCATTGGCACCATTTCCAGCATGGGACTATTATGACTAGTGCTGCTGGGATGGTTTTTGTACCATTGGTTTGGTGAACATCTGTGTACATCTCAGTTGGGTCCAGGGGTGAATTTAGAGGATTCATAGACCTCGAACTTCAGTGGAGAGTGTGGTCACAGCACCTGATGTGTTTATTGGCAGTTGGTCTCATGCCACAGATGTGGTGGCTTCACATTCCTGCCAGCACTTGATGTTGTCCTGAGGGTATATAGTGTTTCATTGTGGTTTTGTCATTTCCGGATGACTAATACTGTCAATCCTGTCTCTTATGCTTATTTGACCTTCAGATCCTCTTGTGTGAAGCAGTCACATATTTTGCCTGTTCTTCTGTTGAGTTGTTCTCTTACTGACTTGTAGGAGTTCTTAAGTTATTCTAGATGCAGGTCCTTCCTAGGATACAAACACTGCAAAAATCTTTCCTCTGTAGTTTACCTTTCACTTTTTCTTAAATTTTTTTTTTTTTTTGCTTGTAGATGGACAAAGTATCTTTATTATGTGGTGCTGAGGATTGAACCCAGTGCCTCACATGTGCAAGGCAAGCGTTCTACCACTGAGCCACAACCCCAGCCCTACCTTTCATTCTTAATGATATTTTTCAGTGAACAGAAGTACTTCATTTGAGTAGTCTGATTTATCTGTCATCTTACTGATCCATTTTTGCTGTCCTGCTTAAGAAATCTTTGCTTATTTCAAAGTCATTGATCTTTTTTTTTTC